ACATATATTTAAAATCTGATTGGTATGGCCAGCAGGTTGTATGGGGGTTAAGGTACTGGATTCCCACATGACCAACTGCTGTTCCAGTCCAGAAAGACCTGGCAGCGTTCTCTCTCTCTCTCTCTCTCTCTCTTTCTCTCTCTCACCAAATTAAAATAATAATAGTGATAATAAATAAAATAATTCTAAAAAATAAAAATCCTGGTTGGCTTGCTTTATTTATCCTCAGGACCAATAGATACTAATTTTAATTACAATAATAAATTCTACTTGTTAAATTCCAACATACAAGGTAATTTAATAGACTTTTGACACATATTATCTCATTTAATAATATGGAACTGATCCTATAACATGAAATTATTATCATCCTTTTATAGATGAGTAAATATGTATATTAAAAAGAAAATAACTTGCTAAAAACCATGTGGCTAGTAAATGGCTGAATGAAATTCAAATGGGCTCTGGGGTCATGATGGGCAGCAAACGCATCTTCCAACGGGGTTGTGCAAGTGAAGTCACATACACCATTAATAAGGTTTTCTGACAGAAGAGACAATCCTAAATCCATTGTATCAGAACCTTCGAGATCAGAAGGGCTATCATTCCACTCTTCTGCAGTTTCACAGCATTCTAAAGGAAGTAAATCACCAGATTTGCTGATGTATCAGGGTTCACCAGATATAGCAGAATTAATCAAAACTTTACCACAGAAATACAGAAGGAAACTTGTGTCTCAGGGGGAAATTACATTTATCCAACATGATGGGCTAGAGTAATCACTGTGGCTGCTGTTTTCATCAGGCAGAAGAATTATCTTTACAATAAAGGACATTCAAAATGACAAATGAGAAACTGTATATTAAACAATTTACTTTAATAAGTAGTCTGTAAAAAAAAAAAGAAATATAGGAAATTTAGATAGAGGGTCAGCAGGTGGCGCAGTGGTTAAAGGTGCTGCCCACATGGTCGACCACAGTTCGAGTCCCAGACCTGGTGGCTTGCTTTCTCCTGCTCCCTTACACACACTCTCTCTCTCTCTTTCTCTCTCTGTCTTACTCTGGCCAAATTAAAATAGTAATAACAGTAATAATAATAATAACAAATGAAATTAAAAAAACAATTCTTAAAAAAAGAAAATTGAGATAGTCGCTTGTATCTCCTAATTTATGTATTTTGATCAGCTCCAAATTTAAGTAATTGTTTATATACTTTATAGTTATTAAAATATACATTTTTAAACGTTAGCCTATTTACTCTTGATTATCAAGCATTATCAGTGTTGAACTCTTAAAAACACATAGTCTAATAAACTTCCATAGGTTTCTCATAATTTCATTTTTCTTTCCATTTCTGTTTAGACATGGTAAGAATTTACCAGGCAGAATTGCTATTTTACAGACATGATTTTCCTGAAATTGGATGAGGATCAGTGAAGAAATTATTATTTGTTTTTCTCTAACTTTTCTTCATTTCACAATGTTACTAAAGTATAACTGGCTTAATAAGTGTTCATACTCTAAATGACACAAAAATATCAGAGATAAAATAGGTGATCAGTATTAAGACTGGGAAGATAGCACAAAAGATTTTATGTAATCTATATTTTTTTAAAAGTCAGTATAAAATAAAAATAAATCAAAAGATGGAAATGAATATAGGATAGAAATAAATGTTTCACTAGGAATTGGAATTTATTATGTTTTGCTGGGTGCTAAACTTTATTCTTTGGTTTATTTTACCATTTTGATTGGGATCATGTTAACCATTAACTTTCTCATACTTAATGTCCGAAAGTCTCATAATTGACCTAAATATCTTTTTTTTTAAGAGGTTTTTGCTATAGGGCGCATGCGCTCGCCAGGCAGACAGAGACAGAGAGACAGAAACCGAGAAATCACCCCCCAGGGGGGATGGCCACGCCACAATGCCTTCTCCTCCATTCGCCTCTCAGGATCTTGGGCACGCACTCACACGTGCCCGTCGTGAGTTTTAAGCCACTGGGTCCGGGACATGAACCGCAGTCGACTAAATGGGAATCCAGCGACATAGCCATTACACTAACTGCTGGTCCCCTAAATATCTATCTTATTAGGCAATTTGTAAAACTTTAACAGGGTCTTTCTGTGCCAAGGGTATATATTGTAAAACATCTCAAAACTAAATAAAATTTCCTCATACCATTAAGAAAAAATGGGATTCAAATGATCACTCATTGAAATACAACGCTTATATTTTTCCCATTAAATGACAATTTCTTCTCTTGGAATCCAACCAGAGAATATTATTTCATACTTAAATAATGACAGTGTCATACTTTTGGGGGAAACTTCTCTTTCCAAAACTTCTAAAACCTTTCTTTCTTAATTAGCTGTAACTAACTTATTCAGTGGTATATGTGATTTCAAAAGAATAATTAACATGTGAAACATTTTCATTTTAACCTTAAAAGAAATCATGAAATCTTTAAGCAGCTCACAAGTTAATCATTTTTAAAACCAACTTAAGTTAAATAATAATTTTTTAAACACTTACATAAGGATGAGATGGCTAAGTCAAAAGAACCTCACTGTTTGGAAACACTTGAAGAAATACTGGTGGAAAGTATAGAAATGAGTATTTAATGTGGAGTTTCAGAATTACTATTCAGAATTTAAAAACTGGAAAAGGGCCAAAGCATGCAACTCTTGAGAGTAGTAGGATTCTTCCGTGGAAATATTTTTCTACTGAGTACCATAGTAGGGACAGGGATTTTTGTGTCTCCTAAAGGGGTATTAAAATACTCTGCACTGAATGTACCTGTCTCCCTGAGTATCTGGGCTGCCTGTGGCCTGCTGAGTATAATCAGTGCTCTCTGTCATGCAGAACTGGGTACTACCTTTCCTAAGAATGGAGCATCTTACTATTTTCTCAAAAGATCTCTTGGATCTTGCATTGCTTTCCTCAGTCTTTGGATCAAACTTTTTGTCTTTTCTTTAGGAATTGCTACTCAAGTCTTGTTATTAGCTAGCTATATAATTCAGCCTTTCTGTGCTGGATGCCCAGTTCCAGAGATATCAAAGAAATGTCTAGCGTTGGCTATTTTGTGGTCATTGGGGATTCTAAATTCTCAAGGAGTGCTAAAGGTGGCTTGGTTTGAGACTATTAGTACTTTGATAAAGATGACAATTCTTTGTTTTATTTCTCTGACTGGGATTGTACTTCTGATAATTGGAAAAAAGGAGAATGTAGCTAGGTTTGAGAATGCCTTGGACGCTGAAGTTCCTGACGGCCCACAGATTGCTGAAGCCTTTCTCCAAGGACTTTATGCATATTCTGGCTCATCAATCCTGATCAACATGGCAGGTAATCCATTTCTGAAAAACTTTATAGCATTCAGAAGGTTTGGTCCACAACTTATATGGAAAGATATATCTACTGATAATTATTTTGTTTGGGGGAATAAAGTTTACTGTTCTCTGTACTACTTAGTCACCATTAAAACTCCATGTAAATTCCTTTGTATTGAATATGTACAATTCATGTTCATCAAATCATATCCCTTAAAAATAAAACTTGGGGGGACCAGCAGTTGGCATAATGGTTATGTCACTGGACTCCCTTGTAGTCAACCGCGGTTCAAGTCCCGGACCCGGTGGCTTAAACTCATGCCAGGCGCGTGTGCAGAGAAGGGATTGCGGTGTGGCCATATCACTTGGGGTGTGATTTCTGTCTCTCTGTTGCTCTCTGTCTTTCTGGCGAGCGTACGCACCCTATAGCAAAAACCTCTCCAAAAAAAGTAAAAATAAAACTTGGAAATTTTTTTTTTAAGTTTTCAAAAGAAAATTAATATCACGTAAACTCAGATTCTATTGCATTCAGTTCTAGTTTTTTAAGGTATTTTATTAAAAACTAATTACATAAGAGATAAATTAAGATGATCTCTTTGTATGAAGTGAATTATTGGGCCAGGCCATGATGTAGCAGTTAAGACAGCTGGATCTTTCAAAGAGCTGACTTAACGGTTTGAATTTGGAACCCAGAGGTTTCAGAAACATGCCAGGTTCATGTGTATGCATGATGAAAATCCTGAAGGGAGGGGTAAATTGAGAAGTGACTGTAGCATGACCATTCTGCATAGTGGATGCTCTCTCACATTTCCTCTGTGTCTGTCTAGTGAATACACACACCCTCTGGCAAATTAAAATAATAATAAAAGTGAACTATTACAGATTTAAAACACTCATGTTCTATTTCACTACTATTCACCCCCAAGCTTAGTTCCCTGCACAGAGGTAAATATAGTCAGCAATTGGGTCCTCTTCCATTATCTGTACATTTACCTGAGAAAATATATTGTACTGTATTCAGGAATTCTACCAGCATTTCTAAGATGCTGTGTCCTAATTTTCATCCCACAATATGTCTTACAGATCTTTCTATAAATATATTTAGTACTTAGTGATCTAGTGTATTCTTTGCACTGCTGCATTTCACTTTAGCGGGCAAAGCAATTGTAGTTTGTTCACAGTAACTGGGAGTAATATAATGATAGTAGTTTTTGTTTACACACTGTTAACTCTCTGGGACAATGTTTTCCTATTTGATATCATGGTCCCATGAAAATTTGGTAACAGTTGCACAGTGTTTTTGAGTAATAAAAGGTTAAATAAAATAATTCACTATATTTCATTTATCAGATACAATTATAACAAAATATTTTAAATATTAATTTGAGGGACAAGAAAATGAAAAATTATCTGTTGATAAAAATGTGTAAGATAATATCTTTAACTGGACTAATATACAGTGTATTCATGTTGAGAAAATTCATTCTGCAAGCTGTAATGATATATAGCAATAGAATTTATAAAACATAAAACATTAAATATTAAGACAGCTATTAAACATTGAATATATATAAAAATTTCAAATAAATATTTGCAAAAATTTTAATGATGAATTTGAGCATACTCCCTTAAATAATGTTACATAGATTTTATGCTTGAAATTTCTGTAAGTTTTTGTTTTTGTTTTTTGTTTGCCATAGGGCACGTTTGCTGGCCAGAGAGGGACAGAGAGAGCTAAAGAGAAAGAGAGAGAAAATGAGAAGTCACCTCCTCATGGGTTATGGCTATGCCACAATCCCTTTCCCTCCATTCTCTTCTCAGGATTTTGGGTACATACGCACATGCGCCTGCGTATTTTTCAAACCGTCAGGTCCAGGACTTGAACCACACAGTTGGCCATGTGAGATCCAACTGCCTTAACCTCTGTGCCACCTGCTACCAAAAATTTTAATGAGAACCTGAGCTTGCTCCATTAATTAATAGTTTCAGGACTGCATGCTTGAAATTTCTGTAAGATTTAAATCAAAGCTCTTAATTTTATGATTTCATAAAATTCTTGATTCCTGAATTCCTGGAATTCTTGATGGTCCTGTCAATGAGATACTTTCCTAGACTGCTAAAAATTTACAACTAGGGGCCAGCAGGTGACATGGTAGTTAGGGTGCTGGATCCCACATGGCCAACCACATTCTGTGTCCTGGACCTGGTGACTTGCTTTCTCAGTTTCTGTGTGTGTCTCTCTCTTTGGTGAACACACATGCCCTATAGCAAACTTAATATAATAATAATAATAATGAATTGTTTTAAATTTACAGCAGATTTGATTTTAAGGGTTTTAACATTTTCCTTTTTTATTGACAAATGTAATTTTGAAATTTCTTGCAATGAAATGAATGGATTTTTAATACAATAATATCAAGGTGTTCCAAATAATGATCAGGATTTAATTTACCTAGCACAAATGAACTGTTATTACTGTACAGCTAGTTTGGAGAATAAAAAGGCAGAAATAATGTACATAGGTGGAGGCAGAGTTTCATGGATCACTCCCTGGAGCTGTGCCATTGCAAATATTTTCTCCCTTTCCATAGATTATCTTTTCACTCTGTTGATTGTTTCCTTGCTGTGTAAAAACTATTTAGTTTGATGTATAGATATTATATTTTAAATGTATTTAGATATTGAAGTCAATTTTCTTTGACTATACTCATGAGTTTTAGTTCTCCACTACAATATCTATAAAATTGTTTTTATTGTTTTGGTTTTACAGACTTTATTAAGAATTGCTTATTTCAAAGATATGGTCTTATGTATTTTCTACTATTACTTCCTATGCTTTGGTAATTTATATTTTTCATTCAATCTCCATTTAAAGTTCAGTTTTCTGAGAGATTTGAGAAAAAAACTTTAACTCTGATTTTTCAAATAAATAGCCAAATAACCATTACCATCTATTAGATGCTTTATCCTTTTATCCATTAGTTGAAATGGTATCAATATAATATACTAAATTTTCTATTTATACAGTTTCACTCCTAAATCCTTGATACCTACACTGATTTATTTATATTCATGCCACATTTATAATATTTATAGTTTTGTAATATTTTATATGCCTGGTATGGCTGATCAACCTCTTCGTTCTTCTTCAAAAAAATCATTGTTGAAATAATATACATTTTAAAATAATATTTTCAAGTTCTTGAAAAGCTTCTTTGGTGATGCTTATTGTGATTTAATGGAATTTGAGGTTAAGTTTTGAGACAATTGTTATGGTTACAGTCATTATGGTCACAGGGGATCAGAAGGTATTTATTTACATGTTGTGATTGGTGCCAGCTATAAGATGCTCATTTTTCATTCAAGGTGTAACTCTTCAGATGACAAACCAAAGCAGGGAGTAGGAGAAAAAATGAGATGAGTACAGTTGGAATATGTGTGCAATTGAATGGAACTGGCTTCATAACCAATGCTACATTGACTTTATAAATTTATAATAGCAAACTCTGAGTTGGCTTCTTATACACCAACATGTGGTAAATCTGACTAGAGGGAACTCTCTCTCAATTTTGTTCCTCTGAGTTTCTAATATGTCATGTTCCTGGTTAAGTGTAAGCACTTTAGACAGCTTATGTCTACATTCTTATGGTAAGGGTTCCTAAAGGGACAACGCTGATTCTCAGTTACCACCATACACCCTCTATTCAATGCATCCATCTCAGTAACAGATTCATAGGAGTCTTTAGTGAAGAGGAGAACTAGCATGACTTAAGTTCTACTCAGTTAGTACTATAAAAGGATAAAAGTCTCTGGCTTTTGTAGCATGACCATGTATATTGGGGCCATCCGACAAGGTGTCATGGAGTGCTAGTTTAGAAAATAAAAATTATTTAAAATATATTAATATTAGAAGTGATTTTACAGTGTCCATATTTTATAACCTGCCCAGAATTCCCATTAATGAATAGAATTTAAGTGGAGAAATAGATAGATGCAGTATTGGCTAATCCTTAGAGGGAGTTGAATTAATAATGGAATAGTTGAGGCTGGTTGGTGGCATGGTGGTTAAGAGTGTTGGACTCCCACGTGGCTGATCACAGTTCAAGTCTCCGACCTGGTGGCTTGCTTTTTCACCTTCTCTCTCTCTCTCTCTCTCTCAGTCCCTCTCTAGTCAAATCAAAATTAATAAATAAAGTTAAATAAAATAATTCTTTTTTAAAAAGGAATAATACCACTAGCTTAGATTTGCTTCCATTCCTCAGTCAAATATATATCTATATCTATATCATCTATATCTATATCTATATAGCAAGATCTGGGGAAACTAAAAAGGCTAGCTCCCCTGCTCTGTGCACATGTTTCCCAGAACAAGCAGCAGCCTCTAGCCTAAGCAAGAACCTGATTTGCCTCCTCTTGAGAGAACTTTTCACAGGCAGAATACATGTAAATATTTGGAAACCCTCCTTCTGACACCTAGCAGGTTGTGATATAAATCAGTTTCAGAAGGAAAAAAATGACTCCTTGAGAATCCGAGATCCTGAAGTAGACATTACTCATAGCAAGCAGCTAGAGGCAGGGCACACTGGCCTCAAAATATATATAGGCTCTCAATCAAGAATGCTTACACTTTCCTAAGTCATAAAGTTTCCCACCCATAGGCCAGTGGGTGGCATGGACTTTAAGGCAGCTGAATCCCACATGGCCAACCACATGCTTCAAGTTTGGACCCAGCATCTTGAAAAAAAAATGTGTGTGCATGTTCAAAATCCCACGAAGAGAATGGAGGTGAAGAGATTGCGGCATGACCATTGCTCTGGGGTGATTTCTCACTTTCCCTCTCTCACCTTTCTCTGGCAAGTGCACACACCCTATAGCAAAAATAAAAACAATCATAAAAGGAAAAATTTACCCATCCACAAAAGGGGATGGGAATCACTAGGTCATGTGACTAAAACTACAAGGTGGAACATCTTGAACTGTGATGAAGTAGCTTGCACTTCCAAGATTCAAGATTAGAATATTTGATCCAAGATCAGGATATCTGATCTGAGCACCTCACACTTCACAGATGATTCTATCAAGTCATGTATACGCCAGCTGGCTCCATCACACACTTGTTATAATAATGTGTACCCTGACCTATTACTTCAGATAAAATTGATGTTATACCAACATTTCCTCACTGCCTTTTCAATTGGAATTTGGGTCGAAAGAATTCCTTGCTTCTACATGACTTGCAGCTAATTTCTCTCACTGTTTGAATAAATTTAAATGATCTCTTTATATTTGATTGGACTCTAATTTGTTTTTGTACAATTATTTTACTTATGTTCCATAGGCTCATCCACTCCATTCATACTTTTCTTACATATAATGATTCTGTAATTATAATACATTACATTACCCAAATGAGAAAAGTGTTTCTCACAACATGAGAAACATGAATTTTTCTTTTAGGCCTAAAATTGAGAGAAGACTGCAAAAAAAAACATTTTAAAGAGGGAAAGGGAAAAAAAAACCAACAAAACAAAACAAAACAAACAAACAAAAAACCTCTAAGAGTTAGAATGAGAAAAGAGCTTCCTCAGATTGAGTTTACTTGGAAGACCTGCAGTTGGCGTAATGGCTTTGCTGCTGGATATCCATATAGTCGACCATGGTTTGAGTCCTTGACCCGGTGGCTTAAACTCACACCGGGTGCATGTGTGTGCATGCCCAAGATCCCAAGAGGAGAATGGAGCAGAAGGGATTGCGGTGTGGCTGTCCCCCCAGGGGATGATCTCTCACTTTCTGTCTCTCTGTCTCTCTCCATCTTTCTGATGAGCACACATGCCCTATAGCAAAAACCTCTCCAAAAAAAAGAAGAAGAAGATTGAGTTTACTTGGGAAAATGAGATGAACTGATGTGGGGGTGAAGAGACATGCTGTGTATTAAATAATAATGGGTTGCCTGCGAAACCATGATGTATTTTTTCTATACTTTTCTATGCAAAAATGCATCATGACTTTTCTGACAACCCCAAATTTGCAGTCACTGTAAACCCATAATCACGAATCACTGAAATAATTTTATTTTACTATGAGATGGTGAAAAATGTAAGTTCTCAGACAGTATTTGTCCTGGACCAAAGCAGAATGAGCTACAAACAGAAGAGGGAGCAACAAGCACCTAAATAATAATTTCTCCTTTTTATTATAAATAATACTTAAAATGATATGTCTTTTTTTCTAATAACTCTATTTGTACTTTTTAGGAGAGATTAAAAACCCTGCTGAAAATATTCCCAAATCTCTGATTACCTCTCTTTCCATGGTGACTGTGGTTTACCTACTGGTTAATGTATCCTACCTGGCAGTTTTGACCCCCAAAGAAATCATCTCTTCAGGTATGAATGTGTTTAAATAAAGAGGAAATCATCACATCTATCTACTCTGAATAAACAGAGATTCCTATAAACTGCAGATTTGGTCAGTACACTTATAATAATCAGAACAATGTGTTTATGATTTGGTCTTTACCAAAAAAAAAAAAAAAAAGGAAAAAAATGCACTAAAAAATCTCTTTATGTGTGTGTGTGTGTGTGTGTGTGTCTGTGTGTATAAAAACACACAATAAAGATGAATTTCTAAGCTTAGAAGAATATAAAACAATGATTTCAGGATTAGCAGGTAGCAATAGTGGTTAAGACTCTGGACTCCCATGTGGTCAACCTTAGCTTGAATCTCGGACCTGGCAGCTTGAAACTCATGCCAGATGTGTGTGCATAGATGCCCAAAATTCCAAGAGGTGACTGGAGGAGAAGGAACTGTGGGACGGCCATCCCCCTTGGGGGTGATTTCTCACTTTGTTTCTCTGTCTCTCTGTTTCTCCAGCAAGTGCATGTTCCCTATAGCAAAAATCTCTCAAAATAAAACAAAAAAAGACACTAATCTCACTCTCATACCATCTACAATCCCTACCCAACCACCCCATCACACCTTCCTTCAGATGAAATATCACCTAGAGCTTTTTGCTATAGGGCATGTGCACTCACCAGAAAGACAGAGATAGAGAGACAGAAAGCCTCACTGTTTGGAAACACTTGAAGAAATACTGGTGGAAAGTATAGAAATGAGTATTTAATGTGGAGTTTCAGAATTACTATTCAGAATTTAAAAACTGGAAAAGGGCCAAAGCATGCAACTCTTGAGAGTAGTAGGATTCTTCCGTGGAAATATTTTTCTACTGAGTACCATAGTAGGGACAGGGATTTTTGTGTCTCCTAAAGGGGTATTAAAATACTCTGCACTGAATGTACCTGTCTCCCTGAGTATCTGGGCTGCCTGTGGCCTGCTGAGTATAATCAGTGCTCTCTGTCATGCAGAACTGGGTACTACCTTTCCTAAGAATGGAGCATCTTACTATTTTCTCAAAAGATCTCTTGGATCTTGCATTGCTTTCCTCAGTCTTTGGATCAAACTTTTTGTCTTTTCTTTAGGAATTGCTACTCAAGTCTTGTTATTAGCTAGCTATATAATTCAGCCTTTCTGTGCTGGATGCCCAGTTCCAGAGATATCAAAGAAATGTCTAGCGTTGGCTATTTTGTGGTCATTGGGGATTCTAAATTCTCAAGGAGTGCTAAAGGTGGCTTGGTTTGAGACTATTAGTACTTTGATAAAGATGACAATTCTTTGTTTTATTTCTCTGACTGGGATTGTACTTCTGATAATTGGAAAAAAGGAGAATGTAGCTAGGTTTGAGAATGCCTTGGACGCTGAAGTTCCTGACGGCCCACAGATTGCTGAAGCCTTTCTCCAAGGACTTTATGCATATTCTGGCTCATCAATCCTGATCAACATGGCAGGTAATCCATTTCTGAAAAACTTTATAGCATTCAGAAGGTTTGGTCCACAACTTATATGGAAAGATATATCTACTGATAATTATTTTGTTTGGGGGAATAAAGTTTACTGTTCTCTGTACTACTTAGTCACCATTAAAACTCCATGTAAATTCCTTTGTATTGAATATGTACAATTCATGTTCATCAAATGGCCAACCACATTCTGTGTCCTGGACCTGGTGACTTGCTTTCTCAGTTTCTGTGTGTGTCTCTCTCTTTGGTGAACACACATGCCCTATAGCAAACTTAATATAATAATAATAATAATGAATTGTTTTAAATTTACAGCAGATTTGATTTTAAGGGTTTTAACATTTTCCTTTTTTATTGACAAATGTAATTTTGAAATTTCTTGCAATGAAATGAATGGATTTTTAATACAATAATATCAAGGTGTTCCAAATAATGATCAGGATTTAATTTACCTAGCACAAATGAACTGTTATTACTGTCACCTTACAGCTAGTTTGGAGAATAAAAAGGCAGAAATAATGTACATAGGTGGAGGCAGAGTTTCATGGATCACTCCCTGGAGCTGTGCCATTGCAAATATTTTCTCCCTTTCCATAGATTATCTTTTCACTCTGTTGATTGTTTCCTTGCTGTGTAAAAACTATTTAGTTTGATGTATAGATATTATATTTTAAATGTATTTAGATATTGAAGTCAATTTTCTTTGACTATACTCATGAGTTTTAGTTCTCCACTACAATATCTATAAAATTGTTTTTATTGTTTTGGTTTTACAGACTTTATTAAGAATTGCTTATTTCAAAGATATGGTCTTATGTATTTTCTACTATTACTTCCTATGCTTTGGTAATTTATATTTTTCATTCAATCTCCATTTAAAGTTCAGTTTTCTGAGAGATTTGAGAAAAAAACTTTAACTCTGATTTTTCAAATAAATAGCCAAATAACCATTACCATCTATTAGATGCTTTATCCTTTTATCCATTAGTTGAAATGGTATCAATATAATATACTAAATTTTCTATTTATACAGTTTCACTCCTAAATCCTTGATACCTACACTGATTTATTTATATTCATGCCACATTTATAATATTTATAGTTTTGTAATATTTTATATGCCTGGTATGGCTGATCAACCTCTTCGTTCTTCTTCAAAAAAATCATTGTTGAAATAATATACATTTTAAAATAATATTTTCAAGTTCTTGAAAAGCTTCTTTGGTGATGCTTATTGTGATTTAATGGAATTTGAGGTTAAGTTTTGAGACAATTGTTATGGTTACAGTCATTATGGTCACAGGGGATCAGAAGGTATTTATTTACATGTTGTGATTGGTGCCAGCTATAAGATGCTCATTTTTCATTCAAGGTGTAACTCTTCAGATGACAAACCAAAGCAGGGAGTAGGAGAAAAAATGAGATGAGTACAGTTGGAATATGTGTGCAATTGAATGGAACTGGCTTCATAACCAATGCTACATTGACTTTATAAATTTATAATAGCAAACTCTGAGTTGGCTTCTTATACACCAACATGTGGTAAATCTGACTAGAGGGAACTCTCTCTCAATTTTGTTCCTCTGAGTTTCTAATATGTCATGTTCCTGGTTAAGTGTAAGCACTTTAGACAGCTTATGTCTACATTCTTATGGTAAGGGTTCCTAAAGGGACAACGCTGATTCTCAGTTACCACCATACACCCTCTATTCAATGCATCCATCTCAGTAACAGATTCATAGGAGTCTTTAGTGAAGAGGAGAACTAGCATGACTTAAGTTCTACTCAGTTAGTACTATAAAAGGATAAAAGTCTCTGGCTTTTGTAGCATGACCATGTATATTGGGGCCATCCGACAAGGTGTCATGGAGTGCTAGTTTAGAAAATAAAAATTATTTAAAATATATTAATATTAGAAGTGATTTTACAGTGTCCATATTTTATAACCTGCCCAGAATTCCCATTAATGAATAGAATTTAAGAGGAGAAATAGATAGATGCAGTATTGGCTAATCCTTAGAGGGAGTTGAATTAATAATGGAATAGTTGAGGCTGGTTGGTGGCATGGTGGTTAAGAGTGTTGGACTCCCACGTGGCTGATCACAGTTCAAGTCTCCGACCTGGTGGCTTGCTTTTTCACCTTCTCTCTCTCTCTCTCTCTCTCAGTCCCTCTCTAGTCAAATCAAAATTAATAAATAAAGTTAAATAAAATAATTCTTTTTTAAAAAGGAATAATACCACTAGCTTAGATTTGCTTCCATTCCTCAGTCAAATATATATCTATATCTATATCATCTATATCTATATCTATATAGCAAGATCTGGGGAAACTAAAAAGGCTAGCTCCCCTGCTCTGTGCACATGTTTCCCAGAACAAGCAGCAGCCTCTAGCCTAAGCAAGAACCTGATTTGCCTCCTCTTGAGAGAACTTTTCACAGGCAGAATACATGTAAATATTTGGAAACCCTCCTTCTGACACCTAGCAGGTTGTGATATAAATCAGTTTCAGAAGGAAAAAAATGACTCCTTGAGAATCCGAGATCCTGAAGTAGACATTACTCATAGCAAGCAGCTAGAGGCAGGGCACACTGGCCTCAAAATATATATAGGCTCTCAATCAAGAATGCTTACACTTTCCTAAGTCATAAAGTTTCCCACCCATAGGCCAGTGGGTGGCATGGACTTTAAGGCAGCTGAATCCCACATGGCCAACCACATGCTTCAAGTTTGGACCCAGCATCTTGAAAAAAAAATGTGTGTGCATGTTCAAAATCCCACGAAGAGAATGGAGGTGAAGAGATTGCGGCATGACCATTGCTCTGGGGTGATTTCTCACTTTCCCTCTCTCACCTTTCTCTGGCAAGTGCACACACCCTATAGCAAAAATAAAAACAATCATAAAAGGAAAAATTTACCCATCCACAAAAGGGGATGGGAATCACTAGGTCATGTGACTAAAACTACAAGGTGGAACATCTTGAACTGTGATGAAGTAGCTTGCACTTCCAAGATTCAAGATTAGAATATTTGATCCAAGATCAGGATATCTGATCTGAGCACCTCACACTTCACAGATGATTCTATCAAGTCATGTATACGCCAGCTGGCTCCATCACACACTTGTTATAATAATGTGTACCCTGACCTATTACTTCAGATAAAATTGATGTTATACCAACATTTCCTCACTGCCTTTTCAATTGGAATTTGGGTCGAAAGAATTCCTTGCTTCTACATGACTTGCAGCTAATTTCTCTCACTGTTTGAATAAATTTAAATGATCTCTTTATATTTGATTGGACTCTAATTTGTTTTTGTACAATTATTTTACTTATGTTCCATAGGCTCATCCACTCCATTCATACTTTTCTTACATATAATGATTCTGTAATTATAATACATTACATTACCCAAATGAGAAAAGTGTTTCTCACAACATGAGAAACATGAATTTTTCTTTTAGGCCTAAAATTGAGAGAAGACTGCAAAAAAAAACATTTTAAAGAGGGAAAGGGAAAAAAAAACCAACAAAACAAAACAAAACAAACAAACAAAAAACCTCTAAGAGTTAGAATGAGAAAAGAGCTTCCTCAGATTGAGTTTACTTGGAAGACCTGCAGTTGGCGTAATGGCTTTGCTGCTGGATATCCATATAGTCGACCATGGTTTGAGTCCTTGACCCGGTGGCTTAAACTCACACCGGGTGCATGTGTGTGCATGCCCAAGATCCCAAGAGGAGAATGGAGCAGAAGGGATTGCGGTGTGGCTGTCCCCCCAGGGGATGATCTCTCACTTTCTGTCTCTCTGTCTCTCTCCATCTTTCTGATGAGCACACATGCCCTATAGCAAAAACCTCTCCAAAAAAAAGAAGAAGAAGATTGAGTTTACTTGGGAAAATGAGATGAACTGATGTGGGGGTGAAGAGACATGCTGTGTATTAAATAATAATGGGTTGCCTGCGAAACCATGATGTATTTTTTCTATACTTTTCTATGCAAAAATGCATCATGACTTTTCTGACAACCCCAAATTTGCAGTCACTGTAAACCCATAATCACGAATCACTGAAATAATTTTATTTTACTATGAGATGGTGAAAAATGTAAGTTCTCAGACAGTATTTGTCCTGGACCAAAGCAGAATGAGCTACAAACAGAAGAGGGAGCAACAAGCACCTAAATAATAATTTCTCCTTTTTATTATAAATAATACTTAAAATGATATGTCTTTTTTTCTAATAACTCTATTTGTACTTTTTAGGAGAGATTAAAAACCCTGCTGAAAATATTCCCAAATCTCTGATTACCTCTCTTTCCATGGTGACTGTGGTTTACCTACTGGTTAATGTATCCTACCTGGCAGTTTTGACCCCCAAAGAAATCATCTCTTCAGGTATGAATGTGTTTAAATAAAGAGGAAATCATCACATCTATCTACTCTGAATAAACAGAGATTCCTATAAACTGCAGATTTGGTCAGTACACTTATAATAATCAGAACAATGTGTTTATGATTTGGTCTTTACCAAAAAAAAAAAAAAAAAAGGAAAAAAATGCACTAAAAAATCTCTTTATGTGTGTGTGTGTGTGTGTGTGTCTGTGTGTATAAAAACACACAATAAAGATGAATTTCTAAGCTTAGAAGAATATAAAACAATGATTTCAGGATTAGCAGGTAGCAATAGTGGTTAAGACTCTGGACTCCCATGTGGTCAACCTTAGCTTGAATCTCGGACCTGGCAGCTTGAAACTCATGCCAGATGTGTGTGCATAGATGCCCAAAATTCCAAGAGGTGACTGGAGGAGAAGGAACTGTGGGACGGCCATCCCCCTTGGGGGTGATTTCTCACTTTGTTTCTCTGTCTCTCTGTTTCTCCAGCAAGTGCATGTTCCCTATAGCAAAAATCTCTCAAAATAAAACAAAAAAAGACACTAATCTCACTCTCATACCATCTACAATCCCTACCCAACCACCCCATCACACCTTCCTTCAGATGAAATATCACCTAGAGCTTTTTGCTATAGGGCATGTGCACTCACCAGAAAGACAGAGATAGAGAGACAGAAAGCAAGAAGTCACCCCCCAGGGGGGATGGCCAGACCCTCTTAGAATCTTGGGCGTACATGCACACGTGCCTGGAGTGACTTTAAGTCACCAAGTCCGGGATTCGAACCCTGGTCGGTCGACTACGTGGGAGTCTAGTGATGTAGCTATTAAGCTACCTGCACCTGCTGGTCCCCTCCAAGGTTTAATTGAAGCCTAACTTTTTTTTTTTTTTTTGGAGAGGTTTTCGCTATAGGGTGCGTGCGCTTGCCAGACAGACAGAGAGAGACAGAGAGACAGAAAGCGAGAAATCACCCCCCAGGGGGGATGGTCACGCCGCAATCCCTTCTCCTCCATTCTCCTCTCGGGATCTTGGGCATGCACGCACACGCGCCCGGCGCGAGATTTAAGCCACCGGGTCCGAGACGCGAACTGCGGTCAACTATGTGGGAGTCCAGCGACATAGCCATTATGCTAACTGCTGGTTCCCAAGCCTAACTTTTTACACATATTTTTTGCCTTCTGCACACACACACACACACACACACACACCACAAGCCTTTCCAGCAATTTATTATTTCCAGAATAGAGATTATGCTTCATTCTTCCCACACAATGCCAGTCTGACTTAAATGCCAGTCTCAAGCTTGATAGTAAGATTGATTCTAAATTTAATACTCCTTGCACCCAACAAGTGCCTCCTATGTTCCATGCAAAAGCTTATAATAAAAAGTCTAAAATCCTGTTTAAAATCATAAAATGAGAGCCAACAAGTGGAATGAAGGTTAAGGCACTGCATCCCACATGACCAACTACATGATTTGAGTCCTGGACCAGGAACTTGAAAAATCATACTGGGAATATGTAGATGTGTGCCCAAAATCCTGAGAGTAAATTAGAGGATTGTGGATTGTGGCATGGGAGTGGGAGGGGGGGGTGATCTCTTACTTTCCCTCTTTCTCTCTTTCTCTCTCTGTCTCTTTCTCTGGAGAGTGCACATGTCCTATAACAAAAAAAAAAAATCATGAAATGAAATACAGTGCCTAAAAGTAAAATTTTATTGCAATCTTTTCTCTGAATTTTATGGTTGGTAATATCATTAATAAGCTCTTTGAATTTTAGAAGAGAGATTATCCATAAAAACAAAGTTTAGCACTTTTGATTTAAAAAATTGATAAAGGCAAAATCATAGGCATCTACTCACTTGTGATTGAAAAGGCAAGCACTATCATTGAAAAAATACTATCATGTTTTAAGTAGTAAAATGATGCAATTATACCACATAATGGTAGACTCTACTTTAACTACAATCAATATTGGATAGGCATAATTTTGGGAAAAAGTTTGCAGCACATTTAATATGCTAACAACATAGTACCATACATTTCTTTTTATTGCTGTTAGAGAGATTTTTGCTATAGAGCATGTGCACTTGTCAGAGAGACAAAAAGTGAGAAATCACCCCCTCCCGGGAAAGTGATAATGCTGCATCTCTTGTCCTCCATTCTTCTCTCAGGATTTTGGGCATGCACACACAAGTGCCCGGCATGAGTTTTAAGCCACCAGATCCAGGACTCGAATTGCAGTCAACTATGTGAGAGTCCAGTGACATAACTATTACACTATCTTCTGGTCCCAGTATCATACTTTTCTAATGTCCATTATTATTCTTAGTTAAGACTAGAATGTTGATCCTGCCTTGAAAATCTACTTTTATTTTTATTTGGCTGTAGTATGAGTACCTGTACCATTTATCTATCATTCTCTAACAAACCTCCCCAAAACATACTGGCTTAAAGGAACTGCTTATTTAACTCATAATTCTGCAGGTTGGCAGTTTAGGATGGATTCAGCTGAGCAATACTTCTATTCTCAGCTGCAGAGGACATCCTTGTGTTGGTAGTCCCCTACAGTTTGGGAAAACAACTATATTGAAATTGCCCGTGCCCTTTGGGGACTCAGCTGGATGTTTGTTTGAGTTCTTTGAGAAGCAAATGCCAAGGCAGAATTAAAATGCAAGGATTGTACTATGGCCAAAGTCTGTGTTAGAGAAAACAGGAGAGAAGTTAGGTAGCACAGTGAAAGCCATGGGATCACAATGCAAGGCTGACCCAAAGCAAAGGATACAGGGAGAGAAGGATGTGCAAAAACATTCTAGACTGCTATGCAGTATAAGAAAAGTCTGGCAGGGACCAGCAGCTAGTTTAATGGCTATGTCGCTGGAATCCCACGTAGTCGACCGCAGTTCGCGTCCCAAACCCAGTGGCTTAAAACTCACGCCGGGCATGTGTGCGTGTGTGCCCAAGATCCCGAGAGGAGAATGGAGGAGAAGGGATTGCGGCATGGCCATCCCCCCTGGGGGGTGATTTCCTGCTTTCTATCTCTCTGTCTCTCTCTGTCTGTCTGACGAGCGCACGCGCCCTATAGGCAAAAACCTCTCGGAAAAAAAAAAAGAAAAGAAAAAGAAAAGTCTGGCACAAGTGAGAGGAGCCCTTTAGTCAAAGATGGCAATCAGATAAATGAGTATTTCAAGCATATCTGCCACACAGTCATTGGCTGAGAACAGTATGTGAGAGTCATGGCTTTGGTGGAAATTCCACAAATAGATTTCACAGTGCAGGGGTAGGTCAGTTATCCTTGTATTTGGAAATTGGTTTGCTGTATTTTCATGGCTCGGAGTTAGTAAGGCTTGTCCCAGCTCAGTCCTCTGACAGGAGACTAGGCTTATTAATACGGTAGCTGAGCAGTTTACCAGCAAAGAGAACAAGCAGAAGTCTGACTCTCAAGGAACAGACTCAGAATTGGTGGGCCACCATTGTCAATGCATTCTACAAACAGGTCACAAGGTCAGACTAATTGATTCAAGAAGCAAAAAGTCTTCCCCTCTTGGAAGAGACTACTCGGTCACATTACAAAAGAATGGATGCAGAAGTAGAAAATGTTTACCATATTTGCAATAAAGCAAAAGTAACTTTGACTTTTTGAAATTTTCAAAACATTTTTGTAGATTCTGTGGCTGTCATGTGGATGGACAGAATACTCCCCTCTATGCAACAGGTCATTTCTTTGGGGATCTCATCTTCAATACTTGGCAACGGTTGTTGTATAATACTCATGGCATCGAGGATATTCTACACTGCAAGCCAAGAAGGACAACTGCCCTTGATCTACTCTATGCTTAACAAACACCTCTGTCCAGCTATAGCTGTGACCCAGATAGTACTTTTATCTTCTGTTGTTATTATATCTTCACAGTTAATAAACATAATAAGCTATGTGGGAGTAGCCTCATGGTATGTAACTGGACTGCAGATGATAGGTTTACTTAAACTAAGGTACCAGGACCCTAATCTACCTCGACCTTATAAGGTAAATCAAAGTTAAAATGTTAATATTAAATTTCTATTCTCTTTCTATAAACAGAATTTCCTTCAGCTACATAGAATACTTCTAACCAATTATAAACTGACTTTGAAAATGTTTGCTTTGTGTCTTCATTTTCCAGTTTTCTGATGTGTAGTATTTTGGGATTGATTTCTATAAAGCAAAAGGTTAAACAAATTTCCTAATAGGAATATAGTACATAGGAATATAGTATATAGGAATATCTTATCATTTTTGCAATCTTTTAAGAGTTAAGCGATAATACTTGGGAGGGGAGGACACTGTTTACCTCACTCAGAAGCATCTGTTCATGGGACCAGCAGTTAGCATAATGGCTATGTCACTGGACTCCCACGTAGTCGACCGCGGTTCAAGTCCTGGACCCGGTGGCTTAAAACGCACACCGGGTGCGTGTGAGTGCGTGCCCAAGATCCGGAGAGGAGAACGTTGGAGAAGAGATTGCGGTGTGGCCATCCCCCCTGGGGAGTGATTTCTTGCTTTCTGTCTCTCTGTTTCTCTCTGTCTGTCTGGCGAGTGCACACGCCCTATAGCAAAAACCTCTCCAAAAAAAAAAGAGCATCTGCTCACCTCTCAACCCAGTTAAGGTGATGCAGCCTTTGCTTCTTGCTCATGTCCTTAACAGGGCCTTCAGTTTCTACAAGCATATAACAAACCCTCAGTTTAATTGACTAAAAAGTTCTGAGAGCCAGCCATGGCATAGTGGTTACGGTGGCTGGATCCTACATGGTCAACCCCACAATTAGAGTCTTAGAATCAGAAGCTTGAGAAAAACACCAGGTGCATGTACATGTGCCAAAATCCTAAATGGAGGGAGAAATGGAAGGGAAGGGATTATGGCGTGACCAATTCCTGGGGCTGGAGGGTACTTTCCCACTTTTTGTCTCTCTATTTTTCTATCTCTCTTGGTGAATGCATGCATCCTCTGAAAAAAATTAAAAATGAAAATAAAAGGAGACCAGTAAATGGTGTAATGGTTATGTAGCTGGATTCCCATGTAGTTGACTGTGGTTTGACCCCAAGAGCTTAAAACTCACACTGTGTGCATGTGCATTGCATGCCCAACATCCTGAGAGCAGAATGGAGAAGAAAGGATTGTGGTGTGGCCATCCCCCCAAAGGGGGGGTGGCGTGTGATTTCTTACTTTCTGTCTCTGTGACAAGTGCATGCACCCTGTAGAAAAATATCTCTCTCTTTCTAAAAAAAAAAAAAAAAATTAAGCTGAGCTTAACTAACAAGAAAGAATCACTAATACCTAGATATTTGTTATCGGTGTTACTATAGGCTCTAGAGCCGATAAAATAGGCTCTGTACAAAATATTTTCAAAAGCACCACTTTCAATAGGCAGACACAGCCCTAAGGTTTGGCCTGAGCCTGGTGAACAGAGCCCAAGCTTGATATCAGATCCTGTATGTCCCACTAAATGGGTGCTTTTGTGTAATGAACTACCCATGCAATCACAGAGAAATAAAATGAGACTTGTTTGAAAAGGCCATTGCAACAATAGTGTAGAAAGTGTGTGAGGGCCAGCCAGGTAGTGTAGAGGTAAATGTGGCTGGATTCCACATAGCCAATAGCATAATTTGAGTCCCAGACTTGAAGGCTTGAGAAACATACCAAGCGCATTTGTGTGCATGCTCAAAATCCAGAGAGGATAATGGAAGAGAAGGGATTGTGGTGTGGTCATTGTCCCAGGGAAGTCCTTTTTCACTTTCTCCCCACCTTTTGTCTCTGTCTTCCTTTGGTTAGCACACACACCCTATAGTAATTTTTTAGAGTATTTTTGGACTTAGGGCATGTGTGTTCACATAGAGAGAGAGAGAAAGCGAAAATGAGAAATTATCCCCTAAAGGGGATAGCCACAGTGCAATCCCTTCTTCTCCATTCTCCTCCCAGGATCTTAGGCATGCATACAATGCACGCCCAGTGTGAGTTTCAAGACACTGGGTCAGGGACTCTAACCATAGTCTGCCATGTGGGAGTCCAGCAACATAATTGCTATGTCACCTGCTGGTCCCTATAGCAATTTTTTTTTGTAACACAAGAAAGTGGATGAGAAAAATATGAGTATTTTTAAACCAAACAGTATAAATATTCTTTGTAACTCCACTTTACTCAAGACAATTCCAAGGCCAAGAGATTAATTACCATACCTAAAAGGGTCAGAGCTGGAATTAGAACCAAGCATTCTGATTCCAGAACCCAAATTTTTGTTTCATTTCTTATAGGATAAATATTTCATTTTGTGATGGACCAATTGGGAAAATTTCCTCTGTGCTCAACATCAGGAATACTTAGCCCTTTCCTAAACAGCTAATTTGTTTATACCTTATGCCAACTTGCTTTCAAATCTGTATAGGGCTTTGTGACATGCAGTTAGTGAATTATGTTCATTCTTTTTCCATGTTTCTGTATTTTCTCATTTATCTTATTTTCATTTATTTTTTCTTGCTATAACGTATGCCATACTATAGTATAGTTTAAATCCTAGGAGGTTCCAGAGTGTCTGTTTTATTCCTTAATCACATATTCAAGTGCCCATTTAAGATGCTTCTAGATTATAAGGATGATGTCAAAAGTAAAATAAGAGTCCCATACTTCATACCAGTGACCATGACAATAACCACTTGAGTGTACCTGATAAAATTTTCTAGCTGTCTTAGGACAAGTAGAGGGTGTAATGGTTATGTTGCTGGATTCCTACATAGTCAACTGTGGTTCAAGCCCCCGATCTTGAGGCTTAAATCTCATGCAAGGCGCATGTGCATGCATGCCCAAGATTCTGAGAGGAGAGTGGAAGAGAAGGGATTGCATGTGGCCATGCCCCCTAGGGGGTGATTTTTCACTTTCTGTCTCTCTGTTTCTCTTTGTCTTTCTGGCGAGCACACATGCCCTATAGCAAAAATCTCCCTACCAAAAAAAAAAAAAATTGCTAGCAGTCTTAATTCAGTAGGTCTCAACTGAGGATTCTTATACAGAAAGTCCACTGATGACAATTTAAGAGCCCCTATCCTACATTATCTTCTCCTTTCTTTGCCATGTTCCATATTAAAAAAAAAAAAAGATAACATCTTCAATTTGAGCTATTCATTTATTAAACAATTTTACAGTGAGTATCTGCTATATTTCATTCACTCTTCTAAGCAAGTCAGAGAAATAAAGACCAAATTTTTCATTTAGGATTTTATCAGCCTCTCAGCAGACTAAGAAATATAGTATACAAATAAGAATTAAAAAGTTCATTAAGAAATGCCACTTAATTGGGCCAGCCCCACAGCTCAGTGGTTAAGAGGGCTGGACCCTGTGTGGCCAACCATGCTTTGAATCCAGGCTCCAGCATCTTGAAAAATAAGCCAGGTCTGTGTGTATGCCTGCCCAAAATCCTGATGAGAAGGAGGAGGGTTTGTAGCATGACCACACTACATTAGGGGGGGTTTCTCTCTTTCTTGTGCTCTCTTTCTCTCTGGTGACTACAAATGTCCTCTGGCATTAGACAGAGAGAGAGAGAGAGAGAAATGCCATTTTGGTGAGCACATTCTATTAAAGTGTACTGAGTGTAATTCTCACAAAGACTTTAAAAGAAGAGGCTTAAATAAAATGCCATTTTGCAAATAAAGAATCTAAGGATCAGATCAATTAAGAAACCCAAGATTAGGGAACCTGTAGTTAGCGTAATGGCTATGTCGCTGGATTCCCACATAGTCGAACACGGTTCGCATCCCGGACCTGGTGGCTTAAAACTCACGCCAGGCGCGTGTGTGTGCGTGCCCAAGATCCCCAGAGGGGAATGGAGGAGAAGGGATTGCGGTGTGACCATCCCCCCTGGGGGGTGATTTCTCGCTTTCTGTCTCTATGTCTCTCTCTGTCTGTCTGGCAAGCGCACACGCCCTATAGCGAAAACCTTAAAAAAAAAGAAAAAAAAGAAAAGAAAAGAAAAGAAAAGAAAAGAAAAGAAAAGAAACCCAAGATTATACATCTGGACAATGGCACTTAAACTACCTGGAAAGAAATCTTTGTCTGACTTAAGCATTTAGCATAGTAAGTGGCACATAGAAGCAATTCGGTGAACGTGTTTTGAAGGAAGAAATAAGTAAAATAGTAAAGCTTGCATTTCAAACCAGATTTTTCTGACTTCAATGTTTTGCTATCTTCATTATTTAATGGTACTGCATTAGGAAAAAAATAGTACATGCTACTTTAAAGAAGGAGTATGAATAAATAGTGTAGTTAATAATAAGTCTGTTTTCCTAATTCCCAGAACCAAGAATGCTTCAATGACTAATACTGAAATGATATAATGTTTTTTATTACTAGAAAGTATTTTTTAATAACCTTTTCCTCTTATTCCTGAAAATAAAGCACTAGTTTTAGTAAATTCATAACAGAACCAGAAGAATAGAGGAGGAAGTTATGAAACTATAGGGCAAATATAGAGTTGTTGGAAAGTCTTGTGTATTTTTCTGTTTTTCTATGTAAAAATGCATCCTGACTTTTCCAACAACCTAATATATAAATACATAGAATTTACAATTTACAACAATTGTTCAGTCTGCCATTAACTTATTTTTTCTTTTCTTTCTTTTTTTTTGGAAAGGTTTTGCTATAAGGTGCGTACGCTTGCAAGAAAGACAAAGACAGAGAGACAGAAAGCGAGAAATCATCCTGCAGGGGGATGGCCACGCCTCAATCCCTTCTCCTCCATTCTCTCTTAGGATCTTGGGCACGCACGCACACATGCCCGGTGTGAGTTTAAGCCACCAAGTCCAGGACTCGAACCGCAGTTGACTACATGGGAGTCCAGCAACATAGCCATTAAGCTAACCGCTAGTCTCTATTAACTTATTTTCTATCATGTAATACTGAGATCATTCCTCTAAATATAGCTGAAAATATATTTGCAGTTACTGAGAACATTTATAATGCCCTTACGTTATTTATAGAAATATTTGGAGATGAAGTCATTGCTAATCCTTAATTTCTTCTTATTTTCAGGTACGATTGCCATTTATATTTGGAACAATAGCTATATCCTTGTTTCTGATTTTCACACCAATGATTCGATTTTCTAAAATAGAGCATATCTTTCAGTTTGTTTTTATTTTCAGTGGACTTTTGTGTTATTGGCTCCATGTCCAATTTACCAAGCATTCTGTGCATTTTGACAAAATCACTTGTTATTTACAATTACTGTTTAGTGTTTCACCGTCTGAAAACTCTGATGAATGTATTTCAACAGAGAAAAATGACCCTAAAAAAACCTACTTATAAATAAAAAACGGGAAAATGTCCATTTTATTTTTTAAAAACTCTTTAAAAAATTTTTTTTTGCAAGAGGTGTGTGTGCTACCAGGAAGACAGAAAAATACCTCCAAATGAGTTATTATAACAGGGAAAAAAAACACAATTTTTTAACCGTGTTTTGCTTTATTCCTCTTTCTTATATTTTAAAGGATAACTGGGGCTTATAGGTTCTGTAACTAAAGTAATCTGTAAGTATTGTAACAGATAAGGTCATAAATAAGCCTGTTTGCTTAGAAGAGGAAACTTAAGCCACTTGCTCTAGACCATGGTCTCAAGAATGCAACAGGACCCAAGTTCCAGGCAAGAAATCTTAAGAGATAGGCATGTTTGCTCAAGAGACACAATGTAACAGGTTAAATTAGAAAAACTGTAATAATGTTATATTTAACATAATAGCTATTTACAGATGTTCAGATTGTTTTGTTAAATAGTGTAACTTAAAGAAAATATGTTGCAGGTTCCCTTAATCTATCAATGTATGCAACAAGTCTGAGTTAACAGATTCAATGTCAACATAAGAAAAGAAACTGGGTCATAAATGTCATGTGAAAGAAAAGGTTCATAGAACAATTTTGGGAAAATCATGAAAGTAAGAGTAACATCGAATTCAAATTAAATTTATGTTATAAATAACAATGGATAAACAAGAGGCGTAAAGTATATAATGTGCTGGAAATCTCTGTTCTGGAAGTTGTTTGTGAGCTTGTTAGTTCTCAGCCACTCCCTGTACTTGAACACAACTAAATAAACTCTTTCTCCCACTTTGTTTCACCTCTTGATTGTGCACAGAAACAGCTTCTATATTTTAGCAGGCAACACATGGTCATGCTGCAATCCCTCCTCTTCCATTTTCCTTACTGGTGGGATTTGGGACATGCGTGCACACACACCCAGTGTGTTTTTCAAGTTGCAGAGTCATGAACCATGCAGTTGGTCATGTGGGATCTGGCTCCCTTCATCACCAGGCCATGAGACCAACACTAAAACAAAAATTTTCTAAATGAATTAATACATTCTTAAAGATAATCTTTATTTTAAAATGAATATATTCATAAACATAAAGTGTCTCATTGCCCTCCCACTCCCCACCTATGTAGAACAAACCTACCCCCCAAACTACATATATTGAATGATACATAATACCCAATCTCTATAATTCAAGTCTATTACTTGTAATTGGAACCTGAGCTCAAATTGTTTCTCATCTCTTTCTGCCATGTTGAAAATTCTAAAAGCATACACACATACATACTCACATGCACCCCCATACTAATTAAAGAACGTATGCCTTATCACTTAATCACTGCCTATTTCTGTATGTAGTATAAATCTGTAATTTATTTTACTATTTACATTACTAAATATGCATAAATTGATATAAACAAATTGCTTCCTACATGCCAATTTAAACTTTACAGTAATATCAATTTTTAAAATATAATTTACTTCCAAGCATTTGTGTTTAGTCTTTATTCAATAAGGTAGGCTAAATAATGGCTATCAAAGATATGTCCACATCGTAATCCCTGGAACCTGTAAGTACTACTTATATAGAAATGGTGCCTGTGCAGATATATATTAAGTTAAAGATCTTGAGATGGGGGACATTCTACCGGATTACCTGAGTAGGCTCCAAATGCAACACAGGGGTCCTAACTGAGATGCAGAGGAGGACTTGACACAGACAAGAGAGAAGGCAATGTGGCCATGGAGGAAGGACTAGAAGGATGTGGCTATAAGCTAAGGAATGCTGACAATCATCAGAAGTTGGAAGAATCAAGAAACAGACTCTCTCCTAGAGCTTCTAGAGGGAGAACGGACCTGCTAGATACCTTGATTTCTATACAGTGAAACTGATTTTGGACTCTAGCCTCTACATCCGTGTAAAAGTAAACTCTCCTTGTAAGCCAACCCATGTTTCTTATTTGTTACAACAGCCCCAGGAAACTAATACATAAAGTGTTTGCCAACAAATATTCATGGGATGTCAGTGATCATATGAGAAATGCTATAAAATGAGTTCTTAATTCTCACATACTTTACATGGACTTACATGGTCCAAATACACAGATATGTCTATCTCAAAATCACTCACTATATTAATTTTTTTTTAGAGGTTTTCGCTATAGGGCGTGTGCACTCGCCAGACAGACAGAGACAGACAGAAAGCTAGAAATCACCCCTCAGGGGGATGGCCACACTGCAATCTCTTCTCCTCCATTCTCCTCTCGGGATCTTGGGCACGCAAGCACACGCGCCCGGCGTGAATTTTAAGCCACTGGGTCTGGCATGCGAACCGAGGTTGACTACGTGGGAGTCCAGTGACATAGCCATTATGCTAACTGCTGGTCCCTCACTATATTAATATTAAAAATATAGGCCTTTGAAGATATTCCCGACACTGCTATTTTCAAAACACTGTCAAAATATTTAGGCAAGTTGGGACCCCAGTTAGCATAATGGCTATGTCGCTGAACTCCTATGTAGCCAACCATGGTTCAAGTCCTGGACCCAGTGGCTTAAACTCATGCCAAGCACGTGTGCATGCATGCCCAAGATCCTGAGAGAAAAATGGAGGAGATGGGATTGTGGCATGGCCATCCCCACTGGGGGGTGATTTCTCACTTTCTATCTCTGTGTCTCTCTCTATCTTTCTGGCGAGCACATGCGCCCTACAGCAAAAACGTCTCCAAAAAAAAAGAAAAAAGACATTTAGGCAAGTTAGTCATCCTCCAGGTTGGACTTAAAATTTCTTACCTTATGATATTCATGCTCTTAGGCAGTCTTCTCCAACATTAAATCAGGATGGGTCTTCGGTAATAAAATATGAAGAAATAATGTGCGACATCCAAGGCTAGATCATAAATGGCATTTCTGCATAGGTCTTGTTCTCTTGGAATGCTTTATCTGATTGAAGCCAAGGACCTTGATGGGAGAATAATCAAACAGTCTTATAGCAAGGACACAAGGCCAAATCAACTTCCAGATGTCTAAGGAAGCTACCCCAGGACTAGACCCGCTAACCCCAAACAAGTCTACAGATGACTGTAGTCCAGCCTAGATCTGACCATAACTTCATGAAAGACCCCATGTCAGGAGTTCTCAATGAAGCTACTTTCTGAATTCCTAACCCACAGAAACCATGAGTGGTAACTATTTGCCACTAAGTTCTGGGTTGGCCAAAGATAACACACAGGAAGAACTTCGAACTTTGAATAGAAATTTGAACTTTGGGGGACCAACAGTTGGCGTAATGGCTATTTTGCTGGACTCCCATGCAGTGACCATGGTTTAATTCCCAGACCCAGTGGCTTAAACTCACGCCAGGCGTGTGCACGTATGTGCCCAAGATCCTGAGAGGAGAATGGAAGAAAAGGGATTGCAGCATGGTCATCCTCCCACCACCACCACCACCACCACCCCACCCCGGGGAGTGACTTCTCACTTTCTGTCTCTCTCTCTGTCTTTCTAACAAGCGCACACACCCTATAGAAAAAAACCTCTCCAAAAATTAAAAAATAAAAAAATAAAAGAAATTCGAACTTTGGTAAAACTAGAGATCTACAATATAAGAAAAGTCAATGAAGAGTAAGAATGACCCAGCACAGGATTCTAAAAACCAAAGTTCTAGAAACTACTACTGAAAAAATAAATTGACTCTATAGAGGAACTATAGCCCCACTTTCCTCAGAAATAACAGAGAGGGTTTATTGACAAGATAACTGATTGAAAGCATGTATCAGGAGTAGACTCTCAATTCCATCCCTTGGTCTCATGTCCAACTCATATAATAGGACAGCCACATATTCCCTGAATGCAGTCCAGTCCAAAAATTACAAACTAGTAGATGAATAATCCAGATAACCACGGACACTATACTTACAAACATCCTTGGATCACAAATTAGTAAATAACCCCAGCAAGGTACTCCTTTATCCAAAACAGATACAATCCCTCAGGTGATACTGTAAGAAGATTAACCAGGGTGAAGCTTTCCTCATGTGACCCTGTGATTGGGGGAGTACTTATCTGCTAAGTTGTAACTCTTCTCTTCCGTGCAAACACTATCACCACCATTACTTCTCCATCACCATTACCACCCATCACTCATCACCACCTGGCATACAATGTGCGGTTACTTACCTCTCCCGCCATCAAGATACAGAACTATTTTGTCTGTCTTGACTAGAATATAAAAAGTATTTGTTTCAGTCCTTCATATAGTAGGATATAGTAAGTGCTAAGTAAATATTTTGCATTATAGAAGATTCAGGGAAGTTGAGGAGTGATCAAGGAAAAAAAATTAATTATAAGGTGAGAACAGCAAACATGAGCTTTATTTGAGTGATGCTTTGACTGGTTTGCATGTGAAAGAACTTCCTCCTAGCATCAAACCACCCAGAGGCCATGGCTATGGCCAAGGCCTTTATCCAATAGAGAAGAGCAAGGGAACTCCAGGGAGAAAGGAGAGTCTGGGGCAAGGGGATGGGGTATGTGTCTCGGTGATATCACTGAGCTTCACTGTGGTGAGTCTCTGGGTCAGGTAGCTTCCAAGTGCACCAATAACTTGGGGTCTTATCTCTGGTTGGCAGATGTGGATATAGTTTTGTAGGATGTATAAAACAGGCTGGTTCTAATAACTGTAAGTGTGCTTATTTAAGCTTTTTTTAAAACCATTGAATGTGGGGCCAGCAGATGACATAATGGTTACAACGCTGGACTCCCACATGGTCAGTGTGGTTAGAGTACCAGATCTGGTGGCTTAAAACTCACACTGGGTGCATGTGCATCTGGGCCCAAAATCCTGAGAGGAGAACAGAGGAGAAGGGATTGCATCATGGCCATTCCCCACCCCAAGGGTGATTCTCACTTTCTGTCTCTCTCTGCTTTCCAGCAAGCTTGTGTGCCCTATAGTCAAAAATCTCTCTAAAAAGGAAAAAAAAATCAAATGTAAAATTTTGAGTTTCATGCTGACTTTTTTTTTAAATAAAAATAAGAG